CTTTCAACACCAAAGGTAGCTTGCAAAACAAAACAAATCTATTTATTTTAATGCAAATGAAAGTATCCAAGAAGATGCAAAGACAGCTTGCAAGATGAAAAAAAAGCAAATCTATCTTATTTATCTTAATCATAAAATCTTAACCCCCTTTGAAGAGGCAAAGTCAGCATGGAAAACAAAACAAATGCAGATCTATATATGTAATGAACAGTTTCCTAGAGGATCAACATTGCTTTTTAATGATGAGAGCCACTTTGCATCTCAATCAAGAGAATAATAATAATAATAATAATAATAATAATAATAATAATAATACAGTTATTGCCCTTGCAGTGAAAAACAACTAGGAAAAGTTACTTTTGAGGGAGGACTACAACTCCCATTCTCCCAAGCTAGCTGAGTGATCCTGGGATGTGGAGTCCCCTGTGTAAGTTTTTATTCTCTGCAATATTGCCTTGCAAAGAGGAGGATTCCAAGAGGACAGGAGAGGGCGCATGCTCCTTGCTAATGATGCACATGCGCCAATGCTCACACTCAGGCATGTTATTTCACACCAAGCCCTCCCTGGGCGAAAAGACACACAAATGACACGACCCAGGAAAGGCCACAACAGCGGCGCTGCCAGATCCTTGATGAATGAGCGGTCGGCTCAGCTGCAAACAAGGTCCGGTTGGAAAGGGCTCAGAGAGATCAGCCGAACCACTGAATAGCAGAGTCAAAAGGGACCCCCAGAGACCATCTAGTCCAGTGCTTCTCAACCTGGGGTCCCCAGATGTTTTTGGCCTATAACTCTCAGAAATCCCAACCAATTTACCAGCTGTTAGGATTTCTGGGAGTTGTAGGCCAAATCACCTGGGGACCCACAGGTTGAGAACCACTGATCTAGTCCATCTTGATGCCTTGCTTACAATATGCTTAGGTGCAAATGGAAGAAATGAGGAGTTGAAAGGGTTGAAGGAGATGAGCTGAACCAGTGAATTGCAGTTAGAAGGAACGCCAGAAGCCTTCCAGTCCAACCCCCAGAGGCCACCTAACCCACGGCAGCCAGACTACTAACTGGTGCAAATTACAGGGAGTGGACTACCCCCCTGTTTATTTTCCAGTCCCAATTCAAGGTTTAGGTTCTTACCAACAAAGCTCTGAATGATTTGGGACTTGCCTACCTTCATGACCGCATTTCCTTTTACAAACCTACACGATCCCTTTGATCTTCCAGAGGCCTTCTCTTGCTCCCGCCCCCATCGCAAGTGCAACTTCTGGGGACGAGGGAGAGGGCCTTCTCTGTGGTGGCCCCTCAGCTCTGGAACTCACTCCCTAGAGAAATGAGGCAGTCTCCCACCCTGTTAGTCTTTAGGGAGAGCTTGAAAACTTGGTTGTTCCAGTGTGCTTTCAATGACTGAATGAACAATAATCCCTGACCTGACCAAGCCCTGCAAAAATGCCCTTGGAAGCACTTTATTTACCTGCCAGTGCAATTAATTCCTATTTTCATCCCCGGATCCCCTATTCAGATAACTACATTGCTCTCTCACCCAGTGTTTTTAAACTTTTAATCTTTGCAACCGGCCCTCCCCACTATAATCAATTCTTTTTCTTTTTTGTGTTCAATTATTGTGATTTTATATTGTTAGAGGTGCTTATTTATATTGTTTCTTGTATTTTATTTATTTTATTTTTATTTTTTTCTTTATATTTTACTGTTGTATTCTTATGTTGGGTCATAGATTGGGCTTGGCCTCATTGAAGCCGCCCTGAGTCCTGCAGGGGAGATGGTGGGGGGTATAAATAAAGTTTATTATTATTATTATTATTATTATTATTATTATTATTATTATTATCATCATCATCATCATCATGCCCCCCTCCTCCCCACACACACACAAACACCCCGCCTTGCTGACGGTATCATCAGGTACAAATGGAAGAAAAAATGGAAAATGGAAAGGCTTCAATGAGATGAGCTGAACCAAAGAACAGCAATCAAAGGGAATCCCCAGAGGCCATCTAGTCCACCACCCTGCCTTACTTGCAGTATCATCCAGTGCAAATGGAAGACTGGATGGGTTGCAGAGGTTGAGAGTGAAAAGCTGAACCTGTGAACTGCAAAAGGGACCCCCTGAGGCAGGCATGTAGCCAGGGGGGGGGCTCGGGGGGCTTCAGCCCCCCCCCCCGAAATTTTCATGGTGGTTCGCGAAAAGGCCTTAATGGTGCATTATTTAAACTGTTATGTTTATTCATATCATGATCTGATCACCATACTCAATATATCCCATATGCATGGGGGTATTGGGGTAATGATACAAAAGGTTTGCTAGGCTAGGCCCTCTTTCACTCAGACTCAGCCCCCCCCGAAACTCAGCCCCCCCGAAACCCCCCCTGAAAAAAAATTCAGCCCCCCCCCCCCCGAAACAAAATCCTGGCTACGGGCCTGCCCTGAGGCCATGTAATCCACCCCTCTGTCTTGATTGTGATGTCGTCAGGTGCAAATGGAAGAAAGGATAAAAGTTGGAAAGTGGTTAATGAGATGAACTGAACCACTGAACGGAAGAGTCGAAAGGAACCCCCAGAGGCCATCTAGTTCATCTTCATGCCTTACTTGCAATATGCTCTGGTGTAAATGGAGGAAATAAGCTGAGATAAATAATAATAATAATAATAATAATAATAATAATAATAATAATGTATTGTCGAAGGCTTTCATGGCCGGAATCACTGGGTTGTTGTAGGTTTTTCGGCTATATGGCAATCTCAACAAAAGTTTGCCCCAGGCACAGTCAGGCCATTGTATGCTAATCAAGGTGGTCAGTTGAAACATTCACACCTAGCTCCAGCAGACAAGAGTCCTTTGTCCCACCCCGGTCATTCCACAGATATATAAACCCTTCCTAGTTCCAACAGACCTCACTACCTCTGAGGATGCTTGCCATAGATGCAGGCGAAACGTCAGGAGAGAATGCCTCTAGACCATGGCCATATAGCCCGAAAAAACCTACAACAACCCAAAACAATAATGTGACCCACACGTTCTTGTAAAACTTTATATCCTGCTCCATCTCTCCCAGGGGGACTCGGTGTGGCTTACATGAGGCCACACCCAACAATACAGTAAACACAATATAACACAAAAGAATAGCAGAAAATAAAATAAAAAATACATAAGATGCAAAACCAATATAAATAAACGACACAGCAATATAAAATCAAACATTAAAACACAAATGGTCACACTGGGTAGGGCCAATTCAAAGATAAAATATTAAAACACTGGGAGATAGGACAATGTAAATTATTGGGGAGGAGGATCCGGGGATGAGGAAGGATTTCATTGCACAAACCATAAAATAAAGTGCTTCTGAGGTCATTTTGTGCAAAGTTTGGTCAGGGAGTTTACATTCAATCACTGAAGGCACATTGGCATAACCAGGTTTTCAGGTTTCTCCTGAAGATTGCCAGCGAGGGGGCTTGCCTAATGTCTCTGGGGAGTGAATTCCAGAGCCGGGGGGCCACCACAGAGAAGGCCCTCACTCTCGTCCCCACAAGTCACACTTTCGATGCAGGCGGGAGCAAGAGAAGGGCCTCTCTGGAAGATCGAAGAGGTCGTGTGGGTTCGTAGATAGAAATGCGGTCGCGCAGGGAGGCCAAACCATACAGGGCTTTGTAGGTCAAGACCTGCACCTTGAATTGGGCCCGGAAAATAAATGGCAGCCAGTGGAGCTCCTTAAACAGGAGGGTTGACCGCTCTCTGTAATTTGCACCAGTTAATAATCTGGCTGGAGATAAGCTGAACCAGCAAACTGCAGTCAAAGGGGACCCACAGAGCACATCTAGTCCATCCAGTAGGATTGCAATGGAAATTGGTTTAAAGATCACACAGGGGACTAAATACAGGGTGTCCCAAACGTCAACATAAAGGGAGGAAATGGGAAATTGTAGCTACCATAATTTACAAAATATTCATTCCAAAATATTCTCTTATGTGAAAGTGTACCTGAAAGTATTTAAAAAAAATTAAAATAATATAAAATATACCAAAATACCGAATTTGAAGGTACATTACATTGATATAGTATGAACTGCCATAGGAGTTGTACTTTGCACTTAAAGTCCTCGTGAAACTACAACTCCCAGGAATTGATAGCATTGGGCCATGTCAGTTAAAAGCGGTGCCGAACTGCATTCGTTCTACAGTATAGAAGCACTCCGAGACCTCAGTTCAAATCTGGATTCAGCTACAAAGCACCTTCAGTCATCTCTGACCGCTCCCTCCTTTGGCCAACCCACTCCATTTAAACGTCCTGCTCCTATTTTATCTCATCATAGTCTGTTAATTGTTTATTTTTATTCGGAATATGTGGCCCGCCCATTGTCATCTCTTTCGTGATTGCGTCTATTGGAATTTTTATTTTATTTTATTGTTATTACTATGATTTTATTATTATTATTAATGTCATTTTGATAATGTTGTCTGTTGTATATGTTTTGATTTTATTGCTGTATTATGTTGTCCGGGCTTGGCCCCATTTAAGCCGCTCCGAGTCCCCATCGGGGAGATGGTGGCGGGGTAGAAATAAAGTTTATTATTGTCGAAGGCTTTCATGGCCAGAATCACTTGGTTATTGTAGGTTTTTTCGGGCTGTATGGCCATGGTCTAGAGACATTCTCTCCTGACGTTTCGCCTGCATCTATGGCAAGCATCCTCAGAGATAGTGAGGGATGCTTGCCATAGATGCAGGCAAAACGTCAGGAGAGAATGCCTCTAGACCATGGCCATACAGCCCGACAAAACCTACAACAACCCAAAGATTATTATTATTATTATTATTACTTTGCAGGGCTGTTAGGGATAAAAATACACTATCCTTTTGGACGTTTAGATCCAGTAGAAACAAAGTGAAAGTCTTATAACAGCCTGGCACTTTTAGTCGTGGCCCTAATGGTCTTTTGGAACTAATTTTGCAACGATTTCATTTGGAAATGCAGGAAAAGAGGGACAGACTCACGCGTTCCCAGCTGCACGAAGCCCAGGATGATGATCAAGGTCAAGGCCAGGAGTTTGGCGGCTGCAAAAGCATCTTGGACCCGGGTTGCTGCTTTGACGCTGTAGCAATTGACGGCCGTCAGCAAGACTGGAAAGAAAATATAAACAAAGAGAGAAAACGTCAGTTCTTCCCCAAATCTGATGCTTTGCAGTCATTCCCATCCTTATATCATATTTAAGCCCAGGTATGAAGGCTCTATTTGCACCCATGAGGCTCCCAAGTGATGCCAGCCTGAATGTACACTAAACAGTTGACCCTCCAATATATGTAGTTTTGATTTTCGCAGATTTGACTATCAACACATTCGATCCCTTGGTCCACCATTGCAATTCTGTGGCTAACTTCAGACCGAGTTGTGTTGCAAGATCTAAACAGGAAAAAAAACTAACAAACTTTTCACTTGTGAGAATCGGGATTTGGGTTTCATCTCCCATCATCCTGTGACAGCTATTGACTGCTGGGAGTTGCAATCCAACCCTAGGGCGAGACCAATTGCAACCAAAACCAAATACAGCAACCTTAGGGCCCTTCCATACAGCCATATAACCCAGAATATAAAGACAGATAACCCACAGTATCTGCTCTGAACTGATTTATCGGAGTCCACATTGCCATATAATCCAGTTCAATGTGGATTTTATATAGTTGTGTGGAAGGGGCCTGAGATGATATCAACAGTGAACTCATATGGCTCAATGCTATGGGATCATAGGATTTGTAGGGTTTTTTTTTAGAAGGTCTTTAAAATAGTCTTCTCTGCTAAATAATGGTGTTGGTGCTTCAGCAAACTGCAATAATCTATATCTATATCAGTAATAAATGTGGAAATACGTATGTATTGTCAGAAATATTAAAAATCGACTAGGTATTTTTAATTACAAAAATGTGAGTCAAGCACTGAAAGGGTTAAAGTGGATACAATGACTGAGCAAAAGCTGCAGTTCAATATAAGCAGGTGTGTCTGTAGCTTAGTAGGCCTCAGTGTGAAGTAGGCCTTAGTCTTAGTTCACCTCAGTGTGAGAGGTGTCAGTCTGAGAGAGCCCTCAGTGGGAGAAGTCCTCAGTGGGAGAAAGACTTCAGTGTAAGATAGGCCTCAGTGTGAGATAGGCCTCAGTGTTGGTAGGCCTCAGTATGAGAAGGCCTCCTGTGTGAAGCTCCAGTGTGAAGCATGCTGTAGAAGTTGCTGCTAAGAAGTTACTCTGCTATACGTTTATGGGAAAGGACTTTGAGAGGTGTCAGTCTGAGAGAGCCCTCAGTAGGAGAAGGCCTCAGTGGGAGAAAGACCAGTGTGAGATAGGCCTCAGTATGAGAAGGCCTCCAGTGTGAAACTCCAGTGTGAAGGATGCTGTATGTAAAGCTACTGTGTGAAGCTCCAGAGTAAAGTTTGAACTTTGGAAAAGGAAACTTTTTTTTTTTTTGTAAATAGTGCAACCATATTATTTTACTACAAAGGAAAGCCTTCTATGGAAGAAATAACATTGGTCTCTGTGTTTTTGTTCTCTTTATCACTTTTGGCTACTGGTGCTGGATCACGCTTGCTGCTAAGAAGTTACTCTGCTATAAGTTTATGGGAAGGGACTTTGAGAGGTGTCAGTCTGAGAGAACCCTCAGTGGGAGAAGGCCTCAGTGGGAGAAAGACTTCAGTGTGAGATAGGCCTTAGTGTTGGTAGGCCTCAGTATGAGAAGGCCTCCGGTGTGAAGCTCCAGTGTGAAGGATGCTGTATGTAAAGCTACTGTGTGAAGCTCCAGAGTAAAGTTAGAACTTTGGAAAAGGAAACTTTTTTTGTAAATAGTGCAACCATATTATTTTACTACAAAGGAAAGCCTTCTATGGAAGAAATAACACTGGTCTCTGTGTTTTTGTTCTCTTTACCACTTTTGGCTACTGGTGCTGGATCACGCTTGCTGCTAAGAAGTTACTCTGCTATACATTTATGGGAAGGGACTTTGTGTTGGATCACGCTTGCTGCTAAGAAGTTACTCTGCTATACATTTATGGGAAGGGACTTTTGTGAATAAGACCACTTGCCCAACATATATGTGTGTGGCTGGGGTGTCCATTTACACAGACAGGCTCCCACTTCCACAAGCAGCTATAGCCCCCATTACTCAGGAGCCACCAAAGACCCTCCCTCCAATGGCATTGCAGGTTATAGTGAGCGCCATGAGCGCCCAGCAAATGTCCTCCACCAACACCACACTACCCACCACCCAAGTGAAGGCTTTCATATGGAGACAATTCCATCCTAGATGTTATGTTTTTTTATTTATTTCACTAGCCATCCCCTACCAGGCGTTGCTGTGGCCCAGTCTGTTGATCTGGAAAATAAAGTAATGAGAAAGTGTTGGTTTCTAATATATGTAATTTCTTTCTGCTTGTGGGTAAACAGTATTTCTTGCTGTTTCTTTGTCAGTGCTGATGTGGAGAGTGTCTGGTTTGCCCACCTGGAACATGCAACATATCATTGTCCTTCTTTAGGGGTCCCTTTCAAATCTAGGATACTATATTTGTGTGTGTGAATCATATCTATCTATCTATATTTATGGCTGGATGGCTCTTTGTCAGGAGGGCTCTGATTACATTTTCTTGCCATAGTAAAGTGAGTTGGACTGGATGGCCTTAAGTATTTTCTGTTGGCCATGGGGGTTCTGTGTGGGAAGTTTACCCCAATTCTGTCGTTTGTGGGATTCAGAATGCTCTTTGATTATAGGTGAACTATAAATCCCAGCAACTACCACTCCCAAATGTCAAGGTCTATTTCCCCCAAACTCCATCTGTGTTCATATTTGGGCATATGGAATATTTGTGCCAAGTTTGGTCCAGGTCCATCATTGTTTGAGTCCACAGTGCCCTCTGGATGTAGGTGAACTACAACTCCAAAAACAAAGGACGCTGCCCACCAAACCCTTCCAGTATTTTCTGTTGGTCATGGGAGAACTGTGTGCCAAGTTTGGTTCAATTCCATCGTTGGTGGGGTCCAGAATGTTCTTTGATTGAAGGTGAACTATAAATCCCAGCAACTACAATCCACAAAATGACAAAATCAGTTTTTTTGTGAAAGACATACATTGGGTTGTTAGGTGTCTTATGTCCAAATTTGGTGTCAATTTGTCCAGTGGTTTTTGAGTTCTGTTAATCCTACAAACGAACATTACATTTTTATTTATATTAGATTTGGCATTGTTTATTTTATTTTGTTGTATTCTGTATTTGCTGTTGTTTATTTTCTATTGTCTTGTATATTATTTTGTTTTATTATGTTTTGGGCTCAGCCCCGAGTCCCCATTGGGAAGATGGTGATGAGGTATAAATAAATAAATAAATAAATAAATAAATAAATAAATAATAATAATAATTAATAATATCTGTGTCTCTGCAGTGTAGAAGGAAAGTGAGAGAGCACAGCAGATCTATGGATGCCTGCCACAGATGCAGGTGAAACGTCAGGAGGGAATGCTTCTGGAACATGGCCAGACAACCCGGAAAACTCACAACAACCCAGTGAAAGCCATGAAAGCCTTCGACAACACAATAAAACAGCAGTTAAATTGGTGTCAAATTGCATCGGTTCTATAGTGTAACTGCACCCCAGCTCTCTAGGCTTTGAAACATGGAGACATTGCATCATTCGGTGTGCCGGATCGTATTTTCTTTGCTCTTTTAAGAAAGGTTTCAAAGCCGTCTTTCCGGTTTCTGATGCAATTCTGTGTATGAATGTCGATGGCTAAGGAAACACACAAGTGTCCTCTGATGTCTGGAAGGTTGCTCAGGTTTTCCCCTCCTCTCACCCCCCCCAATGAAGAGTGAATGAATGAATACTAGAGTGATTCAACTTCCTCCTTTGGGTGGCAAAATGCTCAACGGCTGGCTGGCTGGCTGGCTGGCTGGCTGGCTGGCTGGCGGAGCAATAAGGAAGGGCCATTGCATCATCCATGCGTTGCTCTCGCTAATCCTTTGCACACAACGCCATGCCCGATTATGCAGGAGGCGGGGGCAAAAGAGGCAGCAGATGCTTCAGAAGTCTCCCTGCATTAAGCAGATAGATGAGCAAGTAAACATCACCATTGCACACTGAGCCGGACTGAGAAAGTTGGGACCCGGATTTTGGAGTGAAGCATTGTTTGCACACTGGGTTCGAATCCTCACTTAGAAACTCAGGCTAGATGCACATTGCCATATAAAATCCAGATTATCTGCTTTGAACTGCATTATATGGCAGTGTTGATGCATCTAATCCAGTTCAAAGCAGGTCACGTGCATTATTATGCTTTGATAACACAATGTAACACAGTTTTTGTTCCTGGTTTTTAAATGTCATTTCCTAATCGGTTCTATTATAAAAACATAGGAAAAGTGTATTAAATCTATATAAATAAAAATGTAATGTTCGTTTGTGGGATTAACAGAACTCAAAAACCAGTGGGCGAATTGACACCAAATTTGGACAGCATACACCTTAACAACCCAATGTATGTCCTTCACTCATTTTTTTTATTTTGTCATTTGGGAGTTGTAGTTCTTGGGATTTATAGTTCACCTAAAATCAAAGAGCATTCCGAACTCCACCAATGATGGAATTGAACCAAAGGTGACACACAAGACTCCCATGACCAACAGAAAACACTAGAAGGGTTTAGTGGGCATTGACCTTGAGTTTGGGAGTTGTAGTTCACCTACATCCCGAGAGCACTGTGGACTCAAACAATGATGGATCTGGACCAAACTTGGCACGAATATTCCATATGCCCAAATAATAACACAGATGGAGTGTGGGGGAAATAGACCTCGACATTTAGGAGTTGTAGTTACTGGGATATATAGTTCACCTACAATCAAAGAGCATTCTGAACCCCACAAATGACAGAATTGGGGCAAATTTCCCACACAGAACCCCCATGACCAACAGAAAATACTTAGGGCCATCCAGTCCAACTCCCTTCACCAGGGCAAGAAAACGTAATCAAAGCCCTCCTGACAAAGAGCCCTCCAGCCATAGATAGAGATAGATCTATATGATTCACACACAGAGATATAATATCATAGATTTGAAAAGGGCCCCTAAAGAAGGACAACAATATGTTGCATG